TAAACACATATGCTAATGCTTGAGCAACCAGAACCGTCTCATCGTCCGAACTCTAACGCAGTGCATTGTGGATACCCCTTATCAACTAGCGGGTTGTACACTACTTATTGCGGCACACTGTGGGATTGTTTGAGTGCACTTGATCTCCTGTACTATGTTTTTAGTGACTGCCACAAAACAGCTGAACCCCACAGTTTCCGACGCAGGTTAAGTGAAGGTGCGCTCTAGACCAACAGGCAAGTGAGGGCCTCTAATATTTTTTATGTGTGCCAGAGTAACAGCCAGCCTATCTATTATGTTGATACTAACTTAGTTATATGACTAATTACTATGAAATATAAACAGCTACGGCCCCTGCTGTTCCATGCACCAAGCTGTGGCTCCCCTGTTCAGCCATATCATGTAGGCCTAGCTTAGGGTATTTCATTATGCTCATTATTACTGTGGGATGCTTTGTGTGGAGAATTAAATGATTCATCACTGCCCACATGGAATTGTTTAAATGGTTTCGGTCCTGTTTGCTGTTTCTGCCTCTCAGTGAATGTAGGAACACAACCAGCTCGGAGACACAGGCTCCACTAAAGGCATTTATCACAGAAACCTATTCTTGAAACTAACAACATTAAATGTCATTCAGTTGCAGCAGTATCAGTTGGTGCATTTTCTCACAGAAAAGTGAATATTTTGAATAAATGTGTCAACAATATGTACCATTTCACTGTTATATTTCATAAGATCCTTCTATTTTTAGTAAGGCTATAATAAATACTTTGAAATATATGAAAGGTCCCGCTCAAAAATGCACTATAGACCACTTTCAAGAATTTTATTTTATTTTTGCATGATATGCATTGTTGGGCTTAACATGTACCAGAAATATCAGTACTATATTATACTTAAAACCACTTTTATTAGTGAGAAATGTGGTTTCCATTATACTTCAGCTGTTATTATTATTGTCTTTTTTTAAATAGTCACAAATGGATACAGCATTTCATATATTAACCTGAGGTTATATAGAGAAGGGATTTCTTGCTTGTAAATGTCTGTTACTGTGGTAAATATTTGGCTTTGTTTCGTCTCATTTGACTACTATTGACATTTAACATATATGTATATGTATGTATATATATATATATATATATATATATATATATATATATATATATATACATATAGTAGTGCACAAATGGTGTAAGTTCGCACTATTGTATAAAATAGGACGTGTGACTTGTATGTATATAAGGGGGCGTGTTTGCCGGAAAACGGGTGGGAATAAAAATAGCCTCGCTGCCGCTGGAGACAATGGAGACGCCCAGTGCGCATGCGCGGGTTAGCAGCAGTAGCTGTGCAGAGCTGCAGCTATCTCACATTTATCTTCAATAACAGTCCATTTCAGACAGAGAGCCTCGTAATTTCCTCCATACACGACCAGTAAAACACATTCGCGGCTAAAACAGCTCCTTTCTGCACCGAACACAGTGTTCATAAAGACAGAGTCTGATCTAATGAAGTTAACACTGGGCCAGCCTCTGATGTCCATGCTTGTGTTGCCTCACATTAGATCACTAAACCCAGGCCTCTTATAACCTGGAAGAGCATTATTTCTTTCATTGTCAGCAAACAAAAGGAGAAACAATGCTGGTTTTAAATCAGGGGCATTTTCATAATCACACATACAGAGCAGATGTGCCCCCATCAGACATGCACATGATAAGGTAATGCATTATTTAGCATCAGTGTTAATTAATGTCACAACCTAGAAATGTGCCACCTTACAGAGCACTGAAATAGAGCCGCAATCAAAACACATGTACTGGACACATCCGGGATTAATTATTGAAGCCTTGACCAATTAGACACTGTGAAAGTTAAAGCAGGACCTCATGTAAGTCCCTGCTCTCTTCTTAGTAGTGCTGCACCTCTTTCACACTGACTCATGTAGGCCACTGAACTCTGTGGTTTGTCTGTAATGTCACTGCTTTGCATGTTAGATTGTGGTCACAAGAGTTGGGCCATAGAACTATGTGACTAATGTGTGACTATACTGAAACCCAGATAAAGGTGTTTTGACCAGTCAGAGCAGCCAGAATAGCCTAGACTGTTAAAAAAGATGCTTCTTCAAAGGTCCTTCACAAAGGCTATGGTTTTATTTAGAACCATGAGTTCTATGTAGGACAATTTGCATGCTTAAATGGTTCTTTGCATGGTGAAATTGTTCTTCAGATTGCTAGAGAATGTGTTGTATATGCTTCTATATAGAACCTTTTTGAAAATGGTTTGATATAGCACCGAAAAGGGCTCTGCTGTTATTACGATGTCAAGCTTGTAACAATAACAAAACCCTTCACCATGGAAAGAACCATTTAAACACAAAATGGTTCTATATGGAACGGTTCTAATTAGAACAATTCCCTTTACTAAAGAACCCTTGAAGAACCATCATTGCTGCTGTCAGAACAAAACCATCTCCATTTTTTGTCATTTTTCAGTTCTTGACATAATTTGAAAAAACATACTGTCCTTTATATTGAGTGTGAATTTCAAGATGAATGGACCAACAGAAACTGCCCAAAAGTACTTGGAAAAATGTCCAGTTCCATTGTTTTACATTAAAAGTAAAGTATGTTTTTTCCTTCTCCTGTAAAGTTAGCATTTTGGAGACAGGAGGTTTTGCTCCAACAGCAGCGATATATATATTTATAGTATATATATATATGTATATATATATATATATATATATGTGTGTGTGTGTGTGTATATATATATATATATATATATATATATATATATATATATATATATATATACACCGATCAGACATAACATTATGACCACCTCCTTGTTTCTATGCTCATTGTGCATTTTATCAGCTCCACTTACTATATAGGTGCACTTTGTAGTTCTACAGTTACAGACTGTAGTCCATCTGTTTCTCTGCATACTTTGTTAGCCCCCTTTTACCCTGTTCTTCAGTGGTCAGGACCCCCATGGACCCTCACAGAGCAGGTACTATTTGGATGGTGGATCATTCTCAGCACTGCGGTAACACTGACGTGGTGGTGTGTTAGTGTGTGTTGTGCTGGTCTGAGTGGATCAGACACAGCAGTGCTGCTGAAGTTTTTAAGCCTACATGTACAATAAATAGGACTTTTAATGGTGAAACCCCATTAGCATTGTAATTTAGTCCATGTCCACTAAACCAGCCCTAATTGTCCAAAAGTTTGTGGACACTTGCACATCCACTGTTTCTACTGACATAAATGGTATTACTAGTGTGTTTGTCCTCCTTTGCTGCAGTAACAGCCTCTACTCTTCTGGGAAGGCTTTACACTAGATGTTGGAACATTGCTGTGAGGATTTGATTGAGCATTAGTGACGTCAGGTACTGATGTTAGATGGTCAGTTTTGGATCACTCTAACTCATCCCAAAGGTATTGGATGGAGCTCCATCACTCCAGAGAACACAGTTCTACAGTTCCACAACCCAGTGCTGGGGAGCTTTATACCCCTCTAGCCCACTATACCCTAGCTGGGCACTGGGTATAGTGACCTTAGGCTCATGTGCAGCTGCTCCAGTGTGTCCAATTCTATCAGTCAGTGCTTTTCTGAGGAGATTATACAAGCTGTGAATGTGCAACTGTGTCAGCAGTAGGTGCTAGTAGCTGAATTCAGTTCTTAAAGGGCTGTCTGGATACTTTTGTACATATGTTCTATAAAGCTCTCATTAAATTGAGATCACTGAAGTTATGCTACAACTACAAAAGCACCCCTCATATTTAATCATTTTGACATGTAGTGGGAAATCTATGATATATCAGAATTCATGTAATGGAATCCTGTTAAAGTGCTGGCCTAACAGTGTAAGGGTACATAAAGAAAGATGAAAACACTCTCAATGTTGAGAAACGTTGAGAAGCTGTGACATCTGCTGGACAAAGTTGTAATTGTCCTAAAACTGAATCACAGACATTTTTCCTGATGTAAATATTGCCAGTGCATTTCCACATGACTACCATGCTGCATCTCCAAACTTTAATTTATTATTATTATTTTTTTATTAATTAATTAATTAATTAATTTTACTGCACCACAATATAGGTTTATTTTATGGATGAAAATGTGCTAGTGTAGCATGCAGCACTCACTTTCGGACATAACTTTTGTTTTGTTTATTAGCTAAATGGGTAACACTTTACTGTAGGGTACTGTTTATAAGGCTACATGACACCTACAAGTCAGGACAACTGACACAACCCCACATAAACATTTATAAGTGCTCATCCCAGTCGGTCTCATTCACTTATAAAGGCTACATTTGCCAGTTTTGATCAGTTAGCTACATTTAAAGGGGGGGGGGGTTATGGGTTATGCCAGTTGTCGTGACAGGCTTATGTAGGTGTCATGTAGCCTTGTGAACAGTACCCTACAGTGAAGTGTTAGCGCTAAATGTAATGTGTCATAAAAAAGAACAAGGAGATGGAAATAATTTATTTATCTGAGTGCAGTGAATAGAAGTATTACTACAGAAGTACTAAGGCTGCGTCTCAAATGGCTTGATGCGCCCTACGTAGTGCGCTACGCTGGTCAAGTACAAATGACGAAAGTAGCCTACCTTATGTCCTTTCAGTCTCTGGAAGGACGAAATCCCAAACGACCCCACTGTGTAACATAAACTGCGCTATTTGGGTGCTGAAGCCGATTTTTCACGACTTAGTGCGTTAGTGCACTAACAAGGGTGTACGGTTTTTGGGATCGAGCCTGAACTCAGCGTTTCAGTTTAGCTCGATTGAATAGACTGGCTGTGTTATTCGCTATTTTCGAAGGAAATAAATGACGACAGGAAACACGGCAATTCTAGTAGTAACAATAAACCACGAAAAACAACAAAAATGTTAAATATAAAAGGGACAGTCGTCCGTTTTCCCGCCCTCGACTCGCTCTGTTATCGATTGCTTTCGCCTGCTCGATGGCATCGGGGCGCTGCTGTTAGCTTTGGAAGTCTGGCGCCAAATTTAGTGTTGACAGCTGTGTTCCAGTTGTTTTCCTCTGTTTTTGTTTGTTTGTCTGTGTATGTCGTAGGTAGCTGGGCAATGGACACTCAGTCGTACATGCCTGTTCCTCCGGGGGTGGGAATGGAGGAGAATTACTTTTCGCTGGATGATATTTTGCTGTCCCAGGAGCGGCTGCCCTGCAAGACGGACACTGAGTTTCCAGGTCTGGGCTTTCTGGAGAAGAACGCAGACAGCCGCCACATACCGGAGGTACAGTCATATATCTACACCGATCAGCCACAACATTAAAACAAGATCCTTGTTTCTACGCTCCTTGTCCATTTTATCAGCTCCACTTACTATATAGGTGCACTTTGTAGTTCTACAGTTACAGACTGTAGTCCATCTGTTTCTCTGCATACTTTGTCACCCTGTTCTTCAGTGGTCAGGACCCCCATAGGACCCCCACAGAACAGGTATTATTTGGGTGGTGGATCATTCTCAGCACTGCAGTAACACTGACGTGGTGGTGGTGTGTTAGTGTGTCGCACTGGTACGAGTGGATCAGACAAAGCAGTGCTGCTGGAGTTGTTCAGCTTGGATATTCGTCATTTTCTCCTCGATTTCTCATGAAATTAACGTCCCGAAACGATCAAACCAAGATTTTCTCAATGCTGTGAAGAACAAACAACAACCAAACACATTCTAAAAATGTTTGAGTTGAATTCTTCAGCCAAAACAGTAGCATCACTGCATGGTCCTGTCTCGGCTGAGGACGCTGGCAGCACTGAAGCACATTTGATACAGGATTCAGGGCTTCTTTGCTTTTTTGTGGTATGAAAGCAGCAGAAATCTCGAGGTCGTGATGTTATTCTTGATAACACATGACCTTGAGTGCTCTGTTGCTGTACACTGGTTGTTGTTGTTTACAGACTCCCTATAATTAGTCTAAATATTTAATGATCCACGCAGATCTAGACGATCTAATGTAATTTATCTAGAATTTATGACATTATTAATCCCAGTAACGATATTAAATTATCATATTGCTCCCCCAAATGAGGCGTAACCTTTACTGTGGATTATATCCGTTTTTTTTTTAGTTGTTATAAACTTTAGGTGGTGGCTTTAACAGCTAAAATATGATTATATACACCGATCAGGCATAACATTATGACCACCTCCTTGTTTCTACGCTCATTGTCCATTTTATCAGCTCCACTTACTATATAGGTGCACTTTGTAGTTCTACAGTTACAGACTGTAGTCCATCTGTTTCTCTGATACTTTGTTAGCCCCCTTTTACCCTGTTCTTCAGTGGTCAGGACCCCCATGGACCCTCACAGAGCAGATACTATTTGGGTGGTGGATCATTCTCAGCACTGCAGTAACACTGACGTGGTGGTGGTGTGTTAGTGTGTGTTGCGCTGGTCTGAGTGGATCAGACACAGCAGTGCTGCTGGAGTTTTTAAACACCTCAGTGTCACTGCTGGACTGAGAATAGTCCACCAAACAAAAATATCCAGCCAACAGCGTCCTGTGGGCAGCGTCCTGTGACCACTGATGAAGGACTAGAGGATGACCAACACAAACTGTGCAGCAGCAGATGAGCTATCGTCTCTGACTTTACATCTACAAAGTTGACCAACAACGCAGGTGCGTCTAATAGAGTGGATAGTGAGTGGACACCGTGTTTAAAACCTCCAGCAGCACTGCTGTGTCTGATCCACTCAGACCAGCGCAACACACACTAACACACCACCACCACGTCAGTGTTACCGCAGTGCTGAGAATGATCCACCATCCAATAGTACCTGCTCTGTGAGGGCATTTGAAAATGCCTTTTGCACTTTACATTATGCATAAATGTCATGATGAATGGGCAAAAAGAAACGGCCCAAAATGACTTGGAAAAAAAGTCTGGTTCCATTGACTTACATTAAAAGTAAATTAGGTTTTTTCCTTCTCCTGTAAAGTTGTCATTTTGGAGATACAAGATTTTCTTCCGACAACAACAATACATCAAAACTAAACTGCAAAAACCAGCCTGTTTTGAATTCCCCGTTTTTGTGATGTCATGAAAACCAGCATTTACATACATCCATCTATTCAGCTGACAGCAGTTTAGCCCCGCCCAGTCGCATGGCAGTTATAAAGAGTGTTTCAGCTTGGACTGTTCTTTACATTGAGACACCATACAACCAGTCAGAACAGAGCTCATTTACATATATTAGTCTGAAAGACACAGTAACAGCAGCCTGTTTTCTAAGCGATACAGAGAGTTTGGAAAATAGTCATGTAAAAATGAATTATGACTGTTTTTGGTACATAAAGCTGCACAAGTGTTATGACTGGAATTGAGGGGAGAGAAATACACCAAAAATGTAGAGCTTGAGGCCTTTACTTTCCCTCTGTGAGCTCAGTCCCTGTGAGAAATCACCCTTTACTGCAGAGCTTGACTGATTTATCCGTGTGTGTGTGTGTGTGTGTGTGTGTGTGTGTGTGTGTGTGTGTGTGTGCGCGCGCGCTGTAGGGCACTAAGATGGAGATGCCGCTGTGGTTGGCTAAGGGTCTGTACGAGAGGAAGCGGCGTGTGATCTCTGTGGAGCTGCCTAAAGTGTACCGCGAGGGCTGGAGGACGGTGTTCGGGGCCGACGCCAACGTGGTGGACCTTCACAAAATGGGCCCTTATTATTACGGCCTGGGCTCTCAGATGCTTCACTTCGACAGCCCGGAAAACCTGGAGATCGCTCAGACGGTTCTACAGGTGAGCGCTGAGCTCTGAGGGGCTGAGAGTGATGGAGTGGAACAGAGTCGAGTGTGATTACAGTGCAGTGACTCAAAAGAAGGCCTGTGGTCAGACTCACGGTCATCGCTTTGCAGGATGAATGATTCATTAATAGAAATGTGTGATCTATCTGTCTGTCTGTCTGTCAATCTGTTTACCTATTTCATCTCTCTATTTATCTGTCGATCTGTTTACCTACTCTATCTATTTATCTATCTGTCTATCTATCTATCTGTCTATCTATCTATCTATCTATCTATCTATCTATCTGTCTGTCTTTCTATCTGTCTGTCTTTCTATCTGTCTGTCTTTCTATCTATCTATCTATCTATCTATCTGTTTGTCTGTCTGTCTGTCTGCCTATGTCTACATCTGTTTGTCTGTCTACCTATGTCTGTCTATCTATCTATCTATCTATCTATCTGTCTGTCTGTCTGTCTACCTATCTGTTTGTCTGTCTGTCTACCTAAGTCTGTCTGTCTGTCTGTCTCTGTCTATCTGTCTGTCTGTCTGTCTGTCTGTCTATATCTAGCTCTTTATGCTGTATTCTTTTCTGTATTATCTGTATCTTACAGCTGTGCTAATGTTGCCACACGCTGTGTGTTCAGTGTTATTGTTAAACATGATTCTGAGTCGTTCCAAAATAATCGAATCACACATAATTGTGGTGAAATGTTAGATTTCATAATGGGTTGAATTGTTTCCTAAAGAACTGTAATCAAAACAGACTGAGAGGTCAGAGAGTCACGCCCGTTAGTCAGCGGTGTGTTTATTAAGGCTTTGAAGTACCAATATCTTGATTTTGATGCCGATTCGTGAATTTACTTTCCTTTAAAATCTACAATATGTTTGTTTTATTAAGTCATATGATTGCAGAGTAATCAAAGGAGCACTGCATAGAATTTGTGAAGTGCTGACATGAATAGCATGCTTATGGCACGTAGCTTAGCCAGTCAGCTGTCTAGATTTAGAAGCAGGCATGCTTATTGGCTCATAGAGCTGATAAGATTGACTAGCACTGACAATGGAATTTGAATGACATGGCATTTTCGATGCTCTGTGGTATTAATGTAATACAGTCGGTACCATAAAGTGTTTAAAGTATTTATAATTTGATACCAGGCTGAAGTGACTAGAAGTTTATTTAGAATGAGGATCCCAAACCCTGAGTCACCATCTGCATGAGCTGTTGATTGACCTGGTGGTTAAGTCAAAGCGAGTATTTGGGTTTTTCATACTCTTTTTCAGTCAGCAGGGGGCGCTGTCTGCACATAACATGCGTTACGCAGCGTTGCTGGGCAGAATGGCCTTGGCGGCTGAGTGGCAGACACAGCCACTGCTCTCTGTAGGTTACAGCCTCCGTGGCGTCCTGCTGCTTCTGTCTCAGGTGCCATAAATACACTTTTGGCTTGTTAAAGCTTATAGTGAGAAATGGGTTTCAGTGATTTTGTCTCACAGGGCTGCGCTGGGTTTATCTCTGGGTTTGTCTCTTTCCCACTGAAGCTGGAGTGACCAGATCTGTCAGCCAGCAGTGTCTGTGTCTGTGTGCCCACAGATTGCAGGGAAATGTGCACGAAAAGAGGCTTGTAGTGATGCATCAATCCAACACACTGGATCGGTTTCAGCACCCATACTGACCTTATTAGTCAGACTGGGAATCGGCTGGTCTTGACTGGTTCTGTGTCTTAGGCATGGTCACTCTAAAATGGAAGTATGTCGTTCCAGTAGATTTTTGGGAGGGTGGAAGCAGGGTGGGGGAGTGAGGGGGATCAGTTGTTCCCCCCACCCCCCAGTAATTTGCTCATAACACATTAGACTTTGCTTTTTAAGAGTAGGTTTTGATTATTGCTGTCGTTAAACTTTACCAAAAACATGTATTTCTAAATCATAACGTTGTTAAATAACTGGACTGAGAGGATCCACATCCTCTGTCATGCCTTTACGTCCGTGTGCAAAGACCCATGGGAAATGAAGTCTGTATACAGTCTGCATCTTCTATGTTGCTTTACTGTAACAGACTGAGCTTCAGTTTTCTAATGTTCAGGACTGTCGAGGATGTGAACTAAGCATGCTGGGATAATTTATATGTCTACTTTGATAAACCTAGAAAAAAGCGTCACACTTTAACATTAAAATGTCTGGGTGAGTTTCAGTCTGAAGGCGTTTGATTTGTTGAAGTAGATAGAGTTCTGTTCTTGCTGTGTCTTTGCACTTCTCTGTCCCAGGTGGTTGCTAAGGTGTTGCTAGGCTGTTGCACTGGTGTCCCAGGTGGTTGCTAAGGCGTTGCAAGGCTGTTACAATGGTGTCCCATGTGGTTGCCAAGATGTTGCTAGGCTGTTGCAACGGCGTTCTAGGTGGTTGCTAAGGAGTTGCTAGGCAGTTGCAACGGTGTTCTAGGTGGTTGCTAAGGAGTTGCTAGGCTCTTGCAATGGTGTCCCAGGTGGTTTCTAAGACATTGCTAGGCTGTTGCAGTGGTATCCCAGGTTGTTTGCCAAGGTGTTGCTAGGCTGTTGCAATGGTGTCCCAGGTGGTTTCTAAGATATTGCTAGGCTGTTGCAATGGTATCTCAGGTGGTTGCTAAGGTTTTGCGAGGCTGTTGCAATGGTGTCCTGGGTGGTTGCTATGGTGTGGCTAGGATGTTGCAATGGTGTCCCAGGTGGCTGCTAAGGTGTTGCTATGCCAAAAGAGAAAAGTGTGTTCAAACAAGCTGTAGAATATTTTTAAATGCGTCTTTTGAGTAAGAAAGATTTTTAGCAACCAGCACATTTATGTTAATCCTAATTATAGCCTGAGCGCAGGTGTGATACGGTCAGTTTTCAATGAAACATACATCACATCAGATTCTGACTTTGTATTGTATTAATGGTACTGGATGCTCTATACAGTAATAATTATGACCTCCAGGGTTCAGAATGTTTAGCTTAGCACAGCTTCACAGCACAGCGCAGCTTCTTTCCAGCTCACTGACGCTTCAATAATGTTAATAATAAAGTAAAGTTTAGAGAATAAAGACTAAAATCTGAGCAGACTGAACCTGTGTTTCTGCGTGGAGCTGTTAGCTTAAGCTACCTTTGCTTCAGTATCCTTGTTAGCGCTAGAGGCTAACATTAGCTTAGCGAGAAGGCTAAACCGCCAGCAGTTCCAGCTCACTGACTCTGTACTGAGGCAAGTTTAGAGGCTAAAGGCTCAAATCGAACGAGTGAAATCGAGTGACTGACGCCTGAGTGACAGAGTCTTTCTCATTTTTAAAGTTCCAGTGTTTCTGCTCTTCCTCGTGTGCAGAGTGTGGTGGGGTTTAGAAACGGGGAGTCAAGGGGTTGTTCACAATTCGTATAATCATACATATTCATGAATTCTACCATTCTGAATGAGGGTTGAGGATTTTTAGTAGTTTATCGGGCATAACAGTAATATGTTAAAAATATTTCACTCTTATTCATTTTTCAGTTTTTGACATAATTTGAAAACGCCTGTTTCCCTTTACATTGTCTGTAAATTTCTTGATCACTGGACCAAAAGAAACGGCCCAAAATGACTTGGAAAAAAGTCTGGTTCCATTGACTTACATTAAATGTTTTTTCCTTCTCCTGTAAAGTTGTGATTTTGGAGATACGAGGTTTTCTTCCGACTACAGCGATTTAACACTTTATTATTCAACATAGATTTTTTTTGTATGTTTTCAATAACGACTTTAAGGGTACTTTAGTTTTCTGACACTGTTCTGATCTCTTCGTCCTGACCAGACCTTTATCGGACGTTTCCGCCGTACCATGGACTCGTCCCAGAACGCGTACAACGAGGACACGTCGGCGCTGGTGGAGCGGCTGGACTGCCTGGAGAGGGCGCTGTTCAAGGCCGGCCAGAGCGGCCTTAACGCCTTCCAGCTGTGGGAGAAGGGCAGAGCGGCCCAGCTGACCGCATCCAGCCTGGTCACCAACTATCGCAAGAGGAAGATCACTGACCTGCAGGCCTGACGACACGATCACAGAGACGCAATAGAGAGAGTGAAGTGGTGTGAGAGCGCGTGTGAGTGAGAGGGTTAATGAGTGTTAGTGTGTGTATTATGGATCATTTTGTCTTTGATGTATGTATAAATTCTTAGGACTATTTTTAAATAAAAATAAAACTTTTGTACTGTTTTGTATGGACGGGTGGATGAGCCGCTACAATATTATACCAAATCGGTAAATTAATTAAATGTGACAGAATTTACAGATTTTCTTTTAGTCTTTTCATTTTTTGCAGCTGAACTGCTGACTTCAGTCTGAAGGTATGTAATCATTCTGTCGGGTTTGTTTACAGTGTAGTGGCCGTGATGGGGAATGAGCAGATAGAGCAGCATGCGGCTCTTTTACTGTCCTGTTGCGGCTCCACAGCAGAAAAACAAAATAATCCTCCTTTACAGTAAAATAAAGCTCTGCTGATCGTTCAACACAGTATAACAATAAATGATCTTAAACGCTGGAGTTAATGTAGAACTGCTAATTCACCCTTTAACCCTGAAGGTTGGTGCGCAGACTGCTGGTCACCATGACAACTCAGACAACAGTCCTGTCTAGCTAGTAGCTAACGAAACGGCAAAGAGGGAGATTTAAGATGAACATTGATAATTTAGAGACGAATGGACTTATGTGTGTTTATAATCACTCCAGCTGGTTTCCTGATACGTTTAATCTGCAACGAGAAACTGTCAAACACTAAAAAGTCACGAAGCTGAAGGAGCTTCTTTGTTCGCCAGCTTCTTATTTGAATTTTCCCATTCCACCTTAAATGGTGCAGCAGTTACATTGTGGTGCCACAGGCTCCATTTAAGGTGGAACGGAAAAATTTGAACAAGAAGCTGGCGAATGAGAACCTGACTTCAGCCTCGTAAAAAAGTCAAATGTTGAGAGACATTTTACTGCCGGAGATGCGGGAAAAGCAGCTAAACAGCAAACTAAGTCTGCGTTTTTGTTTATTTTTGGATTTATTATATTTTAGCCTACACTTGTACGTTGGCACATACTGAGACATATTTACAGCCAATATGGTGAAGCGTTACTTCAATAAAATGCACATAAAATGTGGTTTGATTTTTGTTGAAAGGACAAAATGGCTCTTAACGTTTGAGTTGCCGACCCCTGAACTAGAGGAATACAAGTACTTGCAGGCTATGATTACACAACAGTTTACTAACTTGCTGTACTTTTTTTTTTTAACTATAGTAAATAAATTATTAAAGGCTCTATTTAACATGCCTTAAAGGGGAATTCCACAGAGTTTTCAAAATCTCTTGATAATTAAATGGTTAGGATGTAAACAAAGTCATTCAGAGTGGGTTGGTGTGAGACGCTCTCTTCTGGAGAAACTTACCAAGTCAGACTTGTTTACAGTTGTGATAGGAACCAGACGTCTGAAGAGTTTAATGCCTCCAAAAAATGGTGATGGATACGCTGCCTGGTGCCTCAGGCCCTGTATTGTGATAGATGTGAGGTCAGCTTTGGGCCTAAATTTTACTTTTTAAAAGTCAGAGGGGGAGGGGTAACAGCAGGGGATTGTAATTGCACCACAATTTTACTATCGTCAACATCACATATTAACACTCAGAGGACACGTGTAGGTTTACTTGTAGTTCTGGATAGTAAATAAAGATATTTACAGTGTAAACATTGTGACCCCAGACTCTGTTTGCATTTTAACAGTTTATTCATGCAGAAATTTTTTAAATTTCCTTTAAATAGAAAAGTCCCTTGTATTACACACAACTGGAGAGTTTTCACTGAAGTCCATGTAGGGACTGAATGATGAGCATTAGACCCCAATAAACCTGTGGTTTTAAGAGGTTAATGCATTTTAACAAGTAGCTTTCCTGCCATTTGCATTTGAATGAGCTGCACTTCCCCTAGATTTTGCTCAGGCTCAGTATTAGACCCTCCAAAGGTACCAGTGTTGTCATGTGTACCCGGTGTCAAAGTTTACATTCTCTACATATTCATTTACACTAAGGCAATTATGATTGATTAGGAGTTCAATTATAGTCAGTTAATTTATGTCCAAAGAATTTGGCCCAATCCCATTTCACCCCTCATCCCTACCAATCACCCCCTAGCCCTCTGTTTTGCGCGTTCACGTCTAGGGGTAGGGTGTTGTGATTTTTGTTGAGATAGAGGGGGAGGGCGAAGCGTTAGGGCTACATGACCCTCCAATCGGAGGTTTTTCAGAGACTCCAAACAGTGATATGAGAAAAAAGAAAAACCGGCAAGATGGCTGCGCGAGCAACCAAAGAAACCCACAAAAAGTACTTTCTCTGTTAAAAATGATTATAACCACTGCATTATCTTAGTTTAATGCTGTTTCAGTGTATTATGGTCTTTTTCTTCATAACAAGCATAAAAAATTTCTAATAGCATGCTAATGTCGCTGTAGCTAGCTAACTAGCTTTCCCGGTCCACCTTAAATAGTCTAGCAGTTCTGACGCCTGAAGTGCCAGAACATAAGGTGGAACGGGAAAATTCGAACAAGAAGCTGGTGAATGTCTGACTTCAGCTTCATATCACTGAAGAATAATAGATAATAAATATAATAAAAAAGATAATAAATAATTGCCCCCCCTCTTTGAAGTCATATGATGCCCTAAATGTAACTAAAGCCCAGCAGTGAGGAGCTGAACTTTACCCTCCTCTGCTGTCACTGCAGACTGGCAGCGTCGCCTACAGAGCAGCGCTAGTAGCTGTTAATGAAGTAATGCTCTTTTTATTTGAGGGTCCCATTTCAGAGGGAAGATTTCAGCCACTACCCCTTGTAACTCAGTTCCAAGAGGTTAGGGTGACACTCAAAAACAAGGGGTAGGGGTAAAAAGAAGAAATGGGACTGGGCCTTTGTGTGAATGAATGCTTTAATACTGGGCCAAAACATAATTTACGTATTTCTATAGAAATGTCTGAGAATAGTGTTAACAGTTCTGTAAATCAGACTATTTGGACTGTGAAGTCGATATAATATATAAACATGATGCTACAGGAAGTTTATTGCTTATGTCTGCAAACATACAGAAGCAGGAGCTCTCGCTGATTTCTGATTTCCTCAAAGGTGAAACTCCTTTTATTCACATCTTTTATTAAGACTGTTTCAACTAGAAGAGTGAATGACCTTTACGTTGGCTTGACAAAACCGTTGCTATGGTATCCCAGGTGGTTGTTCAGGTGTTGATTTGTTATCCCAGGTGGTTGTGAAGTTGTTGCTAGGCTGTTGCTATTGGATCCTAGGTGATTACTAAGATGTTGCTAGGCCGTTGCTATGGTATCCCAGGTGGTTGCTCAGATGTTGATTTGTTATCCCAGGTGGTTGTGAAGTTGTTGCTAGGCTGTTGCTATGGGATCCTAGGTGATTACTAAGATGTTGCTAGGCCGTTGCTATGGTATCCCAGGTGGTTGCTCAGATGTTGATTTGTTATCCCAGGTGGTTGTGAAGTTGTTGCTAGGCTGTTGCTATGGGATCCTAGGTGATTACTAAGATGTTGCTAGGCCGTTGCTGTGGTATCCCAGGTGATTGCTCAGGTGTTGATTTGTTATCCCAGGTAGTTGTGAAGTTGTTGCTAGGCTGTTGCTATGGGATCCTAGGTGATTACTAAGATGTTGCTAGGCCATTGCTATGCAATCCCAGGTGGTTGCTAAGATGTTGCTAGGCTGTTGCTATGGTATCCCAGTTGGTTACTAAGATGTTGCTAGACCATTGCTGTAGTATCCCAGATAATTACTGAGATGTTGCTGGGCCGTTGCCATGGTATCCCAGGTGGTTGTTCAGGTGTTGATTTGTTATCCCAGGTGGTTGTGAAGTTGTTGCTAGGCTGTTGCTATGGGATCCTAGGTGTTTACTAAGATGTGGTTAGGCCGTTGCTAGGCAATCCCAGGTGGTTGCTCAGGTGTTGATTTGTTATCCCAGGTGGTTGTGACGTTTTTGGTGGACCAGGTTGTTACTAAGATGTTGCTAGGCCGTTGCTATGATATCCCAGCTGGTTGCTAAGACGTTGCTAGGTCATTACTATGGTATCCCCGGTGGTTACTAAGATGTTGCTAAGCCGTTGCTGTGGTATCCTGGGTGATTACCAAGATGTTGCTAGGCTGTTGCTGTGCAATCCCAGGTGGTTGCTCAGGTGTTGATTTGTTATCCCAGGTGTTTTTGAAGTTGTTGCTAGGTCATTGCTATGGTATCCCAGGTGATTATTCAGATGTTGCTATGGTATGCCAGGTGATTATTAAGATGTTGTTATGGTATCCCAGGTGATTATTAAGATGTTGCTAGGCCGTTGCTATAGTTTCCCAGTTGGTACTAAGATGTTGCTAGGCCATTACTATGGTATCCCAGGTGGTTCCTAAGGTGTTGCTGGGCCTAAAGACAAAAGAGTGTTCAAACTAGCTGGAGAATAGTTTTAGATGCACCTACTGAGTGTTTGATGTAAGAAAGATTTTCAGGCCACCGGAATATTTTTAATGTTTCTCAGAAGTCCTGATCATAAACACAGCATTGTTTAATGCTGCCTTATTTTTACGTGCAGCGTTGGTGGGGAGCAGATCAGTTTTAAAAGCTGGGCAGCAGAGTTTTGTCTAGTAGGATGTGCCTTTACTGTGTGTCCTCGTGTAGCAGCAGACAGCCAAGGTTGGTTTAAGCATTGAATTACAATAAAAGGTCTCTGTGTCGGCAGCAGCTCAGTGTGTGTTTGGTGTTGACCTTTCAGCAGATCTTCTGTCTGTAGTTTGCTGGCTGTTTGTATATTAGAGGTGATATTCAGATGCTCTCTCTAACACTCAAATAGAGCAAGTACTCCTATCGTTGCTTTATACTGCTGTGTATTGTGACTGCAGTACACCTTGCAATATATTAAAACCCCATATCCTACATTTTTCTTGTTTTTTATTTTTTCTCATGAGGTCCTTTTACATAATTTGTGTGGTACCCTGGTCCTTTAAACAGGCTGTTTTTACTGCCCCTTTAAGAATGATATATGTCAATAAGCTCTGTTCTGGTTGGATGCCCTCCTGGCATAGACACTACATATAACTTCACTGTGAGTGGGCGGGGCTAAACCCTGTAGACTGATTAAGTGGATATACACCGATCAGGCATAACATTCTGACCACCTCCTTGTTTCTACGCTCATTGTCCATTTTATCAGCTCCACTTACTATATAGGTGCACTT